CTGCCTTGGTAGTGGTGTACTGCCTCAGTAATGGTGGATGCCCTTCCCCTGACAGAGCTAGACCATCCCGAGTCCAGCTGTGCTTGCTGCAAAACTCTCAATCCAGAGCATTTCAGATTGCTGGTCTTTGTGGGGGTGGCACCTGTCAAGCCAGATCACCTGGCTCCCTGTTTCAGCTCTCTTTTTTTCAGTTGAATGGGTAGCTATGCCTCCCAGGTATTCCAGACATCAGTTGAAATGGCCACACAGATTTCTGTAAGTTTTTGTGCGGAGACCTGCTGTGCTGGCTGGAACAGCTGGTCTGGAAACTCATGACACTTTTCAGCCTGGGAATCTCCTGGTCTGTGGGCAGTAATAACTCATTTGGAAATGCAGTGATCACTCACCCTCTGCGTTGTTCTCGCTGGGAACTGCACTCCAGAGCTGATCCTGTTCAGCTATCTGGGATCTTCTTCTACTTGGAAATATTTAAATTAAATGTTTATTCTTAGTTTGTATCACATTATTCCCAAAGTGTTTGTGTGTGTTGTAAAGACAAATTATGAGATAGTTTTTATTTTCAAGCCAGCGAGATTGCAGCAGGTATGTGGATAATCATATTTATCTATATCTATATCATCTATAACTATATCTATATCTAATCTCTCTATCTTCATGTTGTAGTTCAGCGTGTCCCACATTTTAATGAGCAGAAGAATCACTGGACATCTTGTTAAAATGTGGACACAAATTAAGCAGGTCTAGGTGGGGTCTGAGATTCTGTATTTCTAATGAGCTCCCAGGGATGCCAGGGTTGTTGGTCCACAAACATTGTAAGTAGCAAGTGTGTAGACAAAAGCAACTGAGTGTGTGGAGGAGCCTGACTCAGGGAGGGAACGTTGTGTCAGCATCTCACCAATGCCCTGGCACTGAATGTGTAGAAAGATTGCAGGCTGTAATTTCGGGAAGAATTGTCTGCTTATTACTGAAGACTTTGCCCATAAGGACTGATTTGCAAGCCTAGCTATTACTTTTTTTGTACTTTACATCAGTCAGTCAGTGTCACAGTAAAGCTCAGTAACAAACCACTCCAAAGCTCAGAGGATTAAAATAAGCAGAATTTATTCTCATGGGTCTACATGGTAATTTCCTGCTTGGCTGATCTAGGTCAGCTCCGCACGTGTCTCATCTTCCCTGAACCAGTAGCTCCCCAGGGCATGACCTTGTCATGGCCAAGGCAGAAGCAGAAGCATGAAAGCCCAAATGTGCAAGCACATTTCAAGCCTCTGCTCATGTCATGTCTGATAACATCCCACTGGCCAAAGCAAACCCCATGGATATAGCTACCTTCACAGGGGTGGGGAAGTTTGTTCTACTTACAGTGAAGCCGTGGAAAACTTACAGATGAATATCCTTTTACAAGTGTGATGGATTCAGACCCATAGTTTGATCTATTCACAGTCTTTGTATCAACAGAGTAAGACATGAAACTCTACTTAGATAAGAGCCTCACCCACAGTAATACATGTTATTCCCTGGAGCCACATCAAATATAAAAAAAATTGTTCACCACTGCCTTTGAACGGGTGTCCTGTTGCTGCTGTTTCTGTCTTAGAACTTAAAGGTATGTGGGCTGCATACATAATGCCTACATATAGAATGATCCTGTAGTTGGGATGTGTGTTTCCTCCACATCTCGTGTTGAAATCTGATACCCATTGTTGGAGGTGGGGCCCAATGAGAGGCGGTTGAGTCATGGAGATGGATTTTCATGAAGAGAGAATAACCTTATAAAGAGATTAATGCCTTCCCTTTTGGGGGTTGAGGTGAGTAAGTTATTGCTCTGTTAATTCTCGAGAAAGCTAGTAGTTACAAACACCCTGGCACCTCCCCCGACCTTGCTTCACCATGTGATCTCTGCATACACTGGTCCCCTTTGCCTTCTGCCATGAATGGAAGGGGCCAGAGGCCCTCACCAGAAGCAGATGCTTCTTGTACAGCCTGCAGAATCATAAGCCAAATAAACCTCTTTTCTTCATAAATTACCCAGCCTCAGATGTTCCTTTATAGCAACACAGACAGACTAAGCCAAATGGTGGAACAACCAGCCAACCACCAACCCAGTGCTGCAAATCTGCCATGACCAGATTCTTGGGTCTGAACGGCAGCCAAAGGGATCTCCCTCAACAGGGCTGAGGAAGATCGTGTCCACTTGGAGGGTGCATGTTTTCGAGATGCCAGTGCCAACGCTGTGGCAGTCAAGATAGGAGAAGCAGGCTGCCACGGTGCAGATGAGAAGCCAGCAGTATCTGTTGAGAATTAAATGATGAAACTGACTAGACGTGGTCTCTACTTTTATTATTTCTATTGGATGACAGTTCTAAACAATGTTGTTGGGAAGTACTCCCTCGAGTCCTGGCATGCTTTGGATGCATTCCCCTCTGACACACTGAGGCAGGAGAATGACAGCCTTGTTGGGGACCTGCCTGAATAATTTAGATGGGACAATGCTGCCCTGAGGAAAAAGAGATGGGGGTGGTGGGACACATTTCTCTGTTGGTTACTTTTAGTGAACTTGCTGGGAATTCCTGCCCTCCTCATTTTAAAAATCTCTGTGCTGATATCCGTACCTGGTGACCTCATGGCAGGAACTTGGTTTTGGAAGACACTGGGCTTTGTTTAACTGCTCGATGTTGCCAACACCAGCTCATCTATCATTGCAAATGTACTTCAAAGCCTTTTTCATTCTTCTGCATTATTCCCAGAAAGAACAAAGTTTCCAGCAACTCTATATAATGGATCTTCACTTACATAAAAGATCAGTTTGGTGTAGAAAAGGATACAGGCCCCAACTTGATGAAGCTCCCTATGGCCAAATCTGGGAAAATTTAGCAAGAAAATAAACAATAATAATAATAGATTATGACCCACAGAATAAACACATACCTACAAGTCCATGCTGAGATAAATAAATAAATGAACAAGTAAAGAAATGGGAGAGAAGAAGTCACTTTTCCTTAGAGCAGAACTTTATTAAATCTCAGGGGAGTAAGGAGCATGGAAAACCACTGCTGGGCCTACGTCACACTGATTGCTGCAGGGATGGGCCATGGATGGATGCAACAGCAGTGGGCCCAAGGATGATGCACACACAACAGGGCATTTGTAACGTCTCAAGTCACCTCCCTCAAGAGATACTAATTACAGAGGGGGAAACAGCAACTCTGCAGTGCAGAACCCTGGGGAACCACTTTAACCAAGTGATCAAGGACAGAAATGGGATCTAGCATCATGGACCCCTGCTATGCTGCAGTGGGAAAAGCACAAGGTCCCCCAAATGCATAATCTCCACCTAACTATGAGAAAGCATCAGGCAGTCCCCAGATGAGGGATATTTTCAGGAATAACTGACCAGTATTCAACTGTCAAGGTAATGATAGGCAAAGACCAAAGAGCTGTCCCAGACTGCAAGGCACATATGGTCTGCAGATTAGTTAGTAATCATGAACCAATGTGAATTTCTCAGATTAGATCATTGTCCTGTGGTCATATAAGATGTTAGTATTTGGGAAAGCTGGGAGCAGGTTAAACAGGTGCTGTTTTTGCAAACTTTTTATAAGGCTAAAATTATTTCAAAATAAAAGATAAGGAAGTAAACAGATGGACTTTGGAGTCATTCTGCCTCTTTTTAAATCTGGTTAGACTACTTACTAACTGTGACACCAAGCAAGTCACTTCATTTCTCCCCTCAATTTCTTCATCTGTAAAATGGGGATAAGTAGAGTACCTATCTGGGAGGCTGAGGCAGGTGGATCCCTTTAGCCCAGGAATTTGAGACCAGCCTGGGCAGCACAGTAAAACCCTGTCTCTACAAAAAAATACAAAAATTAGCCAGGTGTGATGCAAGTCTGTAGTTCCAGCTACTTGGTAGGCTGAAGTGGGAGGATCAAATGAGCCCAGGAGGCAGAGGCTGCAGTGAGCAGAGATCATGCCACTGTACTCCAGCCTGGGTGACCGAGTGAGACCTATTCTCAGAAAACTGACACAAGAACAGAAAACCGAACACCACATGTTCTCACTCATAAGTGGGTGTTGAACAATGAGAACTCATGGCCACAGGGAGGGGAACATCGAACACCAGGGCCTGTTTGGGGGAGGGGGAGCTAGGGGAGGGACAGTAGGGGGTGGGGGGATTGTGGAGGGATAACATTAGGAGAAATATCTAATGTATACGATGGGGGGATGGATGCAGCAGACCACCACGGCATGTGTATATGTATGTAACAATCCTGCATGACCTGCACATGTACCCTGGAACTTAAAGTATAATAATAATAATAAAAAAAAGCATAGCAGAAAAAAGTACCTATCATAGAGGGTTGTAATGAGGGTGAAATGTGTTAATACATGTGTAGTACTTAGAACTCTGTGCCTTGACCCAGAGTAAGGGCTGTACCACTATGTGCAATTATCAGATGAGACCGGCAGCATCTTCTGATCTTAGGGACATTTACTCTCTGTCTCTCTCTGTGTCTCACTATGGTCTGGAAAATTTCTGATGCAGGTCCTGTAGCTGATTCCTTCTCCAATCAGTTACTCTGGCCTAAAAGCATATCTCTTTCTACCAGCAGCCAGATAAAGCCAAATTCAGGCCAGGATTTGTGATTTACATGTTAGTCACTTTTAGCAGAACAAGAATAACTGCTCTCTCATTTAGGGTTGCCACCGAGGAGATGCCTGCATTGGAAAGACAGAGCTCTTGTCACTAAAGAAGCTTCTGGGCCAGTTTCCCTTATCCCCATGGCAGGGTGCAGACTTTTGGGCTTGCAGGACCCAAAAGTTTGGGGGAGGTGTGTGTGTGTGTGTATCTGCCTCACAATGGCCTGTCTGGGCCCTTACCTCATGTCACACGCTGGCATTTGTTTGGCCAATAAGACTGTAGCACACACACCAGCTTCAGTCCTCACTTGGACTCACCTTTGATGTCACAATCTGAACTGTGGGTACTAATCTGGTTACAGCTGCTCACAGACCAGACGGCAAGGTCCAGGGGACTAGCACAGGGAGATGTGGAAGAGAAGTAACCATCAACCCAAGATCAAAGCAGAGGATGGACCTCCGGCGGGCCAGGTCAAGGTCCTGGGTTCAGTTCTAGAGCTGTCAGAACTCCAGAGCTTCCAGGTATGTGAGGACATCAGGCTTCACATCAAGGAAGTGGGTGCTCCCTTGGTCAAGAAAGTCAATGCCATCTTTCAGCTGGACATCACCAAAGGTGGGAAGACAGTTCTGCAGTGGACCATCGATCTGAAGAATGGTTCTGGGGACATGTATCCGGGACCTGCCAGGCTCCCAGCAGACACTGTCTTCACAATCCCGGAGCCTGTCTTTATGGAGATGGTCTTGGGCAAACTGAACCCGCAGAAGGCTTTCCTTGCTGGCAAGTTCAAAGTGAGTGGCAAGGTTCTGCGTAGTCAGAAGCTGGACAGGGTTTTCAAAGACTGGGCTAAATTTTAAGCATGCAAAAATACCAAAGAAGAACTTCTCTTCAATGATAATGTCCAGTGGAAATCATGCTTAATCAGAAGATTAAAGTAAAAAGTATCCAATATTTTTACTCAAATTCTTCTAATTCGAGTTTAGTTGATTTTTCTGCTGATGGCTAAATTTGCAGGGAGGGTTCTGAAGCAGTAAAAAGTGTTGTAGTACATCAATTAAAGTATTTTTCTTTTTCTTTTTTTTTTAAGCTCCGTTTATGCCCTAATATGCCAGGGTGAGCCACATGTAGAGAAGTTCATTGTGATCATTGGAATTAAATACTCCAATGAATGTGTTCTTGAGACATTTTTCCTTTTTAAAAAAAGTTTGATGTTTTGGGGAGAGAAGTGGTAACCCTCATTGTGCAGGCATGCATTCCACATGGTAGCTTTGTTCCATGAGGAAACTTTACTGTGAGATTGCGGGGCACTGAGGGAATGGGGCACCACAGGTCTGTGGGCAGAACCCAGGCAATAGAAGGGATGGTGCTCTTGGTATATTATAATTTCTGATGGTTTCAATGCCAGGAAACTTGAAGGGCTTGGGAGGTGTACTGGACCAGTGGTTTTTAACTGGAGCATGCATCAGAATCACCTGGAAGGTTGGTTAAAGTCTGGATTACTGGGCTCCATCTCAGAGCTTCTACTTAGGAGATCTGGGCTGGGGAGAATGCACGTTTCTAACAAGTTCCCAGGTGATGCTGATAGCACCACCATTAGAGGAATCCTGCTCTGCTTCACCTCATGCCAAAGCTTTCAGTACTGACTATGACTGTTCTATTCTAGACCAATGAGATGCTGCCATTAGTTAAAGGATCTTCCAGAGACAGTTTCCACAGCCCTCTGTGAGCCGTTTATAAAGTATCCATGCTGTCAGAGCTTGTGCATTAAACATTTTACAAAATCAGAGGACAGCCTGGGAGATTTCCCTCCCAGAAGCTCTCTTCAAGTGTTGTCTGGGAGGATAGGATAAAGTCAGATGCAGCTGATGCAACCTCCTTGTGGGTGAGTGTGTGTGTGTTCTTGGTTCACATGTGGTTTCTGTGCACCTTTAACTTGTGGGCTAAATATATACAGTGTGAACACTCTGAAACCTAGAGGAAAGTTTATCACAACTGCCATGCTCAAACACATGCCTACCAAATGATCCCACCATTCTGTTCTTGGGTATTTTGTCAAGAGAAAAGAAAGCATATGTACAGGCATAAAATACGCACTCACATGCATGTGAATGTTCATGGCAGCTGTGTTGAGAATAGTCCTAAAGCGGAAATAAGCCACATGTTCATCAACAGGTGAATGGGTGAACAACTTGTGCTGTGTCATACCATGGAATATTACTCAGCCATAAAAAGGAGGAAATTATTGGCATACCCACAAACAACGATGTGGATAAATGGAGAAATAATCATGCTGAGTGAAAGAAGCCAGAGAAGACTGACCACATACCATTCAGTTATGTTGTATTAAATACTAGAAAATATAAACTGTAGTGACAGGAAAGAAAATCAGTGGTTGCTAAGAGATAGGAGCATGGGGAATGGGGAAGGATGGGGGGATTATGACAGATGTCATGAGGAAACTTGGGGATGATGGGTATATTCATTACCTTAATTGTGGTGATGTTTTCCCAGGTCAAAGCATCACCTTGTGCACTGTGTTTACTATGTGTGATACAAGCTAGTTAGGTTGTTTTTAAGAACATGCCACCCTCCCTTCAAAATAAGCTTTTGTGTAGCTGTGTTCACCTCATCTAGGTCTAGAGTTCCAGCTCCTGACTGATTTGGATGGCTGTTCAGAGACCTTCCTTCATTTCATATTAGAAAAAGTGAGAACTTGTTGCTTACAAAATATCATCCTCTCTGTGGGAAAGGAAGAGACCATTTGTTCTGAGAGTGCTCTACTCCACGGTTAGACATTGCTAATGGGCTGGGCATGGACTTAGTGCACATCCTGGCTTCTTATCTCCCCTGCATCATTAAAGGGGTGATCTACATCTTGTTCCTGCCATGCCCCTTGCCCAAGGCAGCTGTGAATGTCTCAGCTTGGCTTCTGAGGAGGTCCTCAGGAAACTTACAATCATGGCAGAGTGTAAAGGGGGAGTAGCACTTCATATGGCCAGAGAAGGAGCGAGGGTTGAGCTGGGGAGGTTCTACACACTTTAAAACAGCCAGATCTTGTGAGCACTCCCTCACAAGAACAGCACCAAGGGGATGGTGCTAAGCCATTCATGAAGGAGCCACTCCCATGATTCAGTTGCCCCCCACCAAGGCCCCACCTCCAACACTGGGGATTCCAATTTGACATGAGATTTGGTGAGAACACAGAACCAAACTGTATCAGTGTCTTTATGAGAGGAAGAGATCAGAACGCTTGTTCTCTCTCTCTCTCTCTCTCTCATCCTGCCCCCCCTACTTTCTTACTCTCTCTGCCATATGATGATGTAGCAAGTAGGTGGCCATCTGACTAATACAGGACTAAGACTTATATATACACTAATACAGGTGTATAAGTAAATATATATCTCCTATTAGTTCTGTCCCTCTAAGAGAACCCTAATACAGGGCTGCTCCTGGGACAGGAGTTTTTGATTGACTGGTTTCTTTGGTCTGCCTCTCATGCAAGCAGAGTGGGCTCCAGGCGTTTGAGAAAAAGCCCTCTGGCAGTTGGAAGTCAGGTGCAGTAGATGCTGATGATGAAGTGCAGAGAAGGATCAGAGCAAGTGCTGAGTTCTGGCTACCTCCAGCAGCACTTGCATTTGAAGGGGCCCCAGGACATGGCAGGTAGAACCCGAACTGTGGAGGCAGACTGCCTGGGGCTGCATCTTGCCCCATTGAGCAAGTTGCTTTTATTTACTTTGTTAAATTATTTTATTTTGAGATGGAGTCTTGCTCTGTCACCCAGACTGGAGTGCAGTGGCAATCTCGACTCACTGCCACCTCCTCCTGCCTCAGCCTCCTAAAGGACTGCAGGTGTGCATCACCATGCCAGGCTAATTTTTGTACTTTTAGTAGAGATGAGGTTTTGCTATGTTGACAAGGCTGGGCTTGAACTCCTGACCTCAGGTGATCCATCTGCGTTGGTCTCCCAAAGTGCTGGTGTGAGCCACCACACCTGGCTTTTTACTTCTATTTTTAAATGCATTTTTAAAATTGAAGAATACCATACATAGGAAGAAGTCTACACATTCTAAGTGTGCAGCTCAACAAACCTTCCCAAATGAAACACACCCATGTAACCAACACATCATCTGGCTCCAGAAATAGGGCATGACTGGCAACTCAGGAGTCCTCACTCACATGCCATTCTAGTTGCTGTTGCCTCCAGGATAACCACTATTTTGACTCTAACACCATCGACTTTAGTTTTGCCTATTTTTGTGCTTTATATAAATGGGACCATGCAGTGCACACGCTGCTGTGTCTGGCGCCTTCCACTCAGAATTCTGTGTCTGAGATTCATCCCCACTGTTGTGCACAGTTACTGTTCGTTTGTTTTAGTGCTGAGTGGTGTTCCATTGTATTTGATTGTTTCCAGTTAGGGGTGATTTTACATAGCGTTGCTGTGAGCCCTCTTGTATACCTATGGGAGCAGAAGTCTCATTTTGTCACTTAATACTAGTTAGTGTCTTATCAGAATTTGCAGTGACAGCTACAGTGTGCTGTCTTGCACACAGTTGGTGCTTTATAAATGTCTGTGGCATAAATCAAAAGGTAGGGCAAGTCCAGAGGTAGAGAAACTGGTGTCTTTGGTCTGCCTGTCTCCCTGCTGGGATTTGGCATCTGGTTCACTGGGCCTCTGACCCGCTCCATGATCCTGAACTTTGGGCCCCACTTGCTAGGTTTCAGAGAGAAACCCACTGCCAGACACAGGGCAGAGGAGACTGGAAGTCTCACAGGTATGCCATGAACATGCACAGCCCAGTGCCAGTGCTTAGCCATGTCGGGAACCACCTCTAAATGACAGCTGGGAATCCTCACTGACTTTTCTTTGAAGGAAAAAAAAAATTCTTCTGGACCTGTAACTAGGCTAATCACAAGAAACATCTGTGACCTTCTAAAAATATCTGCTTGGTGCCATTTTGTGGAACAGAATATTTATATAGCCCAGAAGTGTAATTAAATTGATGTTTAGCTAACTCTTGGAAACAGCTGGAGGCTCCCAGGGTGAGATCTGCAGGCAGCCCTGCAGTGGGCTGGAAAGGGCCCTGGGAGCTGTTCCTGCAGGCTCTTGGTGGGGGGTCCTGGAGTGGCCACAGAGACGGGGTGGGGTGGGGGGCGTGAGGAACCGAGGAACGTGCTGTGTTGAGGGACCGCCTGGCTCACTCAGGGGCAGCTGGATTATAGTTGTTTCTATGTTTTTGTCCAGCAGCCTCTGGAACATCATTTCCTGCTGAGGAACGTTTTTTTCTTAAATAACTAATCAGAAAGTGCCTCGTTTCAAAAGTGCCTTTGCTTTTGTTTTGTAGCCTGAGGAGGTGAAGTGGGGTAAAGGTGTGCTTTTCTGGAGGTTTCTGTGCTTGTTCCTGGAGAACTGCTCATATTGCTGGGGATCTCAGCCGGCAGGGAGCAGAGCCCATACTTTCTCTTACTCCTCATCAATAAAGAAAACAACAAAGCTGAAGCGAGATTTTTCTTTTTTATAAAAAAATAAAAAACTTTTATTTTAGATTCAGATGTGCAGTTTGTTACCTGGGCATTTTGCATGATGCTGAGGCTTGGGGGCGACTGATCCCATCCCCAGGTCCTAAGCACAGTGTTTAGGCGAAGGGGTTCCATAGATTTTTAGCTGGGCCAGTTTCTCCCTGGAGCCCTTTGAGGTCTGCAAAGTGGGACTGGAGCCTACTGTGGGCAGGGCCTGATGTGGGGTCCCTGTGAAGCCTTATGATGCCACCATCATTCTCTGCAAACTGAC